CTTTTTTTTTTTTTTTCTTTTTAAACAAAGGTATGAGGGTGCTGGTGGATGCCCGAGAGAAGCTTCATATTCCTTGGGGAGATAACTCAAACCAGCTCAGTGGAGACAAGATGATGGCATTTGACACCCGGGCCCCCATGGCGGCCCAGGGAATGGTGGAAACACGGGTTTTTTTACAATATCTTCCTGCTATAAGAGCTCTGTGGGCAGACAGCGGCATACAGAATGCCTATGACCGGCGTCGAGAATTTCAACTGGTAAGAGATTTGCTCCTTTAAAATTTTGTGGTTTTATTTTAATGATATTTAGTAATATCTGATTTTAGCACACTTTTTCACAGACTTTCACAATATAATGTATCTATCCAAAATTGTGGCCTCAGAAATTTGGATTGCTGTCTGTAGATGAGCTTTTTACTAAACAAGGTAAAAATAAGATAAACTCCATAGATTTGGTGAAGCTATTATATTTCACTGGTCATTTTTTCCTTTTTAAAAAAGTAAGGTCATAATGATTTTCTTAGGTACTTCTAATTTTGTTCTCTTTTTCTCCCAATTATAGCAGCAATGTTCATTCTTCTAAAAAACTGATCTTCTACTGTTGGAATGAGAGTTCAGTAACTGAACCTACTATTTCAAATGTGCTACTTAGTCTTTAGAGGTATTCTTCTTATGATATAGGATAATTTAAAGAGAAAGATTAAGATCTTTAATGGTTAACAGTAAATGTGCTTTTTGTATGTGTGTGCTTTTTTAAGACTTCTAAGCACATTTTGTAAAATGTTCCTTTTTAAAAGACAAAATAATCTTAGTTGTTTTTTTGTGTTTTTGTTTTTTTTAAAAAATGACCGGTAAGGGGACCTTCACCCTTGACTTGGGGTTGTCAGCACCACACTCTCCCAAGTGAGCCAGGGGCTGGCCCTATCTTAGTTGTTTTTTGTACCTCTGCTTCACGTGGGAAATACCCAGAATTTATTTTACATTAATTTTTCCCCTTTTGTCCTAAGCAAGACTACCCATAAAACACTTGCTAGTTGTTACAAAGCATTGAAGAAGGGGGGGGGGGGGGGAAAGGACCCAACCCAAAAA